AAAAAAAAAAAAAAGAAATAGAGGAACGAGAACGCCCTGGATTCAGGAGGTCCTGTCTGAGCTAGGAGCTGGAGCTGCAGGGGCATGACGGACAGGGTGCTGCCTTCTCGGGGCCCACCACCCGAGGGATGAGGAAGAACGGACAAGCAAACAGATCAACAGGACAAAGTCTGTGCTGACAAGTGATGTGACACCAAGACAGACGTCAGTGTGGCGTGACACCGCAAGGGAACAGTGGCCAGTCGATAAGGCGGTCAGGGCAGGTCTCCTCAGAGAGGGGACTGTGGGCTGACATCAGAACGAGGAGGAGTTAACAAGCGCAGACGTGAGGGACAATGCTCCAGGTGGCGGACTGGGCTTGGCACATGCAAGGGGGCTGGTTCGGCTGGAGCCGGGACCCGCGAGTGCTGCCCGGGGCAGACATGGTCCAGTGGGGTGTGAGGAGAGGCCAGCGATCCCAGCTGCAGCTTTCTGAGCCGACTCACACGGCCCCCGGCATTAGCCCTTGTGAGCCCCTCCCCAAGCCTGTGTCCACCAGATGCACACGCTGCCACTAAATGAAACCACGGACACGGACGCAGGCGCCACAGGCGCGGAAGGCGATGGGCTCCCGTAAGCGTCACGGTGAGCATTTGGGAAGTCTCAGCAGAGCCGTATTGCGCAAAACCAAACAAAAAGTCTGTCATCAAACTAGGTGCGAGGAAGACACCTGGAACAGACGGGGGGGCAGCAAAGAAACACAGATTGCTTTCACAGTGGCTCCGATCTCGTTCCACGTGAAAGAAAAAAAAGGAAATTTCAGACAACTCTGGGAGCGGTTTATGCAAGAAAGACAGTGTGAGACCCGTCACCAGGGGACGGATCCTCAAAGAAAACACTCTGGTTCTGTGTTGGAGAGTAACGGATGGGCGCGCACGACCCCCAGGGCCATTCTCTCTGCTGACAGTCCTGGGAGCCCCACGGGAACATGGCTGCGCCCCAGAAAGACTACACTTCCCATCCTCCCTTGCAGCAGGATGTGCTCAGGTGGCTCGGCTCCGACCAGCGGGATGTGCGCAGCAGGATGTGTGGGACCGAGGGTACAGCGGCCCCGAACGCCCGCCTCCCCTGCCGGGCCCTCGCCCCGGGCTAGGATGTGAAGGTGATACTGAGACAGCACGCAGGGAGGGCAGCCCCCCAGGCCAGCAGAATCGCCAGGAGGAAGCCTGGGCCCGACGCCGTTCGGGGTGGCCGGGCACAACTTTCCAAAAGAGAAGTAACTTCCGTGCGGTCGGAACCGTGTGACTCTGGGTCTTACCCAGTGGCTGAACCTGAATCTCGCTAGCACCGACCACGAAGACGTCTGAGTTAAAATAAAACGTGCCTGGGTGACTACTACTTATCGCTTCCCGCCTCTGCCCCTGACTGCGATGAACACGCCATCGTGGCCCTGACCCCCGGGGATGAGACGCTGTGCTGGAAAGTCCACCCGCCAAATCCGCCTCCCTCCCTGTGCCGCAGCCCCCAGGTCCCCCGCGGCTCACCAGTCGGGCTGCCTCTGACGCTGAGCTGCGGGGCCCTGGCGGGGACCCCTCTCACCCCCACCCCGGCCGGAAGCTGTGACCCCAGAGCTGGGACCGACGCTCCAGGAGAGCAGACGGAGAAGCTGCAAAGAGCCTGGGTCCCTGAGCGCTGGGAGCAGCACGGCCTGCAAGTCCTGGCGGTCACCCCAGGGCTATTACGGGGACCGAGAAATACACACCTGTGTTCCTAAGTCTCCAAGTTTGGGGGTCTGCTCGTCTCAGCGGCCGAGCAGAGGCCGATAAACTGCAGCCCTGCACGCCTGCCACCGCTTTCGGAGACAAGGCTGTCCCGGCACACGGCCGGGCCCGCTGACTCACAGTTGGTCTCCGGCACGGCCGGGCTCCCCCTCTGCTGCCCTGAGAGCGCTGGGGCGAGGGGCGCACTCACCTCATCCAGGATGGCGGTGGGCTTGGGCCGGAGGGCCAGCCCTGGTGCGGCGGGAGCAGGCGCGTCCTCCTCCGAATCGGAGTCCTCCAGCAGCCGGCGTTTGCGCGCCTCCTCCACCAAGGCCCTGTGGGATGGTACGTGTGCCTGCGATCCCCCGCCCGGCTCGCCAACCCCCGCCCCCGACAGCAGTGAGCGGGGCAGGGAGGGGCACCCAAACTCCTCGCAATCCTCTCGGTCCACAGAGGGCGGCGTGGTTAAGTGCTGGCTGATGGCAGCAGCCCGCCTCAGCTGGGACCCCGGCTGGGTGACTCGGTCGGGGCCACGCCTGGAGCTCCCCACATGCAGACTCCTCTCCCGGCTATTCGCCACCCCGCCCACCTGCTGGTTCCGCCGGAGCCCCTACTATGCGCCCAGCCCTGTTCCAGGCCCTGGGAACGCAGAAGCCAAACCAAGCCCCCGTCCAGATTCTGGAGGAGGGAGGGAAAGAGGGAGGCAATGAACCAGGAGATGGGTGAAGCAGCGCGAAGGTTCCAGGGTGGACAGTGCCGTGCAGAAAGTGTGAACGCAGCAGGCCTGGGCGAATCATCAAACCTGGGGTGTGCTGTCGGTGACCCCGACACAGACGCCATGGGAGAAAGTGAGATGGGGGGGCGCGTGGGGAAGGCCTCCTGCAGCAGGGACACTTGAGGGAGCCACGGAAGATCTGGAAGGAGGGTGTTCCAGGCGGAAGCCTGAGCAAAGGCTGTGAGTGGGTCGAGCACCTGGGACTCCCGCCCGGCCCCACGCGGCCCACTCACGCCGTCTCCCGCTCGTCCTCCTCCCGCTCCTGCTTCTGCCGCTGCTCCTCTGACAGACGGTGCTGCCGCAACATGGCCTCAAAGTCCACGTGCGCCTGCCGCTGGTTCAGGTCCTTGAGCTCCTGCAGGTTCTCCAGAACCTCCATCTCCAGCTTCGAGTCCTTGGTCCGGTTCTCCAGCACCTGGCGGGCAGGACCCAGGCTGAGCGTGTGGGGCCACCGCCCCTCCGTGCAGCTGCTGGGGCTGAGGGGGGGCAGCACCCGCCAGGGGAGGAGCGCCCACGCCTGCCTGCGCCCACAGCGCCTGCTCAGGGGCCTCCTGCCCGGTCCCCCTGCCGCCCCCATTTCCCAGCTCAGAGCACCCAGGCTTGGGGATGGGGGGTGGTCTCCTGAGGCCCCAGGGTTGGACATCCAGCCCAGCTCCTTCATGAAATAAAAGGAAAAACACAGATGAGGGGCCTGACTGGCTGTTAGGGGAACGCGCGACTCTTGATCTCCGGGTCGTGAGTTCGAGCCCCATGTCGGGTGTGCAGCTACTTAAAAAAAAATAATAGGAACAAAGATTAAAGACGACAATTTTACACGCCAGGCCCCAGGCTGACACACTGCCAAGCGTAAGCTTGTTTCATCTCTGCGACGCTGCAGAGGAACCAGGCCAGCCCGGGTGTCCGAGGCGTGGGTGGGAAGCCTGCGTCAGTCGCTTCTGGGCTGAGACCCCGTACAAAGGGAAGCAGCAGGCCCGAGGTTTTGAATATGCGTCCCCCAATTCTCTGATGCTCCTCCCCTGAAAAAGCAGAGCTTCATTCCCTTTCCCGTGAGTGCGGGCTGGACTCTGACCCAGTCCAGCGAGCCACTCTGAGAGTGGGCCCTAAAAGGCGTGTGTCACTCTGAGAGTGGGCCCTAAAAGGCCTCCTCACTGCTTCTCTGGATCACTGGCTCTGGGGAGGCTAGCGCCATGTCGTGCAGGGTGCAGAGGCCCCCGTGGCAGGGGCGTGGCCAGCTGAGCCTTCACAAGATGCGCCTGGCCTGCAGCTTGACTTGGGCCCTCCTGAGAGACCCCAGGCCTGGGCGCCTGGGTGGCTCAGTTGGTTAAGCGACTGCCTTCAGCTCAGGTCATGATCCCGGGGTCCTGGGATCGAGTCCCGCATCAGGCTCCCAGCTCGGCGGGGAGTCTGCTTCTCCCTCTCCC